CGCCTGAGTTTTTGAGGCCGAAGGCCATTACAAGGTAGCAGAAGATGCCCTCGGGAGTCATGAAGGCTGTTTGTTCGGCGTCTTCCTCGTGCATGAAAATTTGGTGATACCCTCAGAAGGCGTCGAGGAAGGACATGATTTCGCATCCCGCGGTCTCATCTACCGATTGATCAATGTTTGGTAAAGGGAAGGGGTCCATGGGGCATGCCTTGTTGAGGTCCGTGTAGTCCACACACATGCAGAAGGTGGGAGGCTTTTGTGCGAGGACTACGTTTGCTAGCCATGAGGGGTATTTTACCTCCTTGATGTGCTTAATACAGAGGAGCATGGCGACCTCCTTCTTCACAAATTCCCTCCTCTCGGCCGAGAGGGGTCTCCTACGCTGTTGTACTGGTTTAGCCGAAGGGTCCACCGAGAGGCGGTGGGTGATGACCCTTCGGTTGATCCCCGGCATGTCCTCCGGCCCCCATGCAAAAACAACGGAGTAGGCGCGGAGGGCGTTGATGATGCCGGTCTTCAAGTCTTCGGGGAGCTGGGCTCCAATCTTCACGACTCTCTCCGGCTTGGCCGGATCGAGCGCAAAGTCTTCTACGTCCTCGGCCGGTTCAGCTCTCGGCCTCTTCTCCTCCTCTTCAATAGCCCCGGTGATGGTGTCAACACGGAACTCGGTTTTGCTAACCTTCTTTGTCACCTGGAGATAGCAAGCGCGGGCGAGTTTCTGATTTCCCCTCGAGTAGCCGATGCCCCCTTCGGCTGTGAACTTGAGGCAGAGTTGCCTCATGGAGATGATGGCTTCGAGATCCTCGAGGGCTGGCCGGCCGAGGATGATGTTGTGGGCGCAATCGATGTTGACGACGACGAACTCCATTTCGAGCTTGGCTCTATGGAGCCCGTCGCCAAATAGTACCGAGAGGGTTATCACCCCCTCGGAATCAATGGTGTCACCGGTGAAGCCGGCAAGAGGGGTCTTGATGGGCCGAAGGGACCCCCTTTCCAGGTGCAACTCTCTGAAGGTGCTGAGATACATTATATTGACGGAGCTGCCCGTGTCAACATAAGTTCTGTGGATGATAGTATCATTGATCTCTGTGCGGATGACGAGGGCATCCCTGTGTGGAGAGGACACCGAGGGGAGATCGGCGTTAGTGAAGGTGATGGGTTCCTCCCTCAACCGCTTTACCGGGGGCATATGAGTGACTTCCCCCACGTATAGCGATTGAGCCCACTTCTTCCGTTGACTGGTGGAGTCTCCCCCTATGTTGCCACCGGTGATCATGAGGATGTGGCGCTTCTTCTCGAGGCCATGGGGGCACTCTTCTCCTTCCTCCTCCAAATTCCCAATCTCCATCTTCCTACCGAGTGGGATGGTATTTGGGTTAACCCAAGCGTTTGCTTTCGCTAGGCGCCCTCAGGGTGTCCCTTGGTAGGGAGGACCCTGTTGCTGAGGGCTTTGGACAAACTGGGATAGATGGCCCGCCTGTATTAACCTCTCGATGGCTGTCTTCAGCTAATGGCAGTCATCGGTTTTGTGCCCTTGATGTCGGTGGAAGCGACAGTAGGGGTAGTTTGGATTGATGGCATATACCTCCGGGGGTGCGTGAGAATCTCGCTCCACCAGACCCCTCTCCTCAGCGAAGTCGAGGATGACGTTGACGGGGTGCGTTAAAGGTGTCCGAGGATGCTCCAGGAGAATAGGTTGTGCCCAAGCCTTCGGGTTACCCTTGTAACCTCCCCCGGGCTTGGCTTGGCCGTGCCGGGGGCGATCACTGGGGGGCGCTGAACCCTTTGGCTGACTATGAGGAGCCCCCGGCCCCCGGTTTCCTTTATCATCTGGCCGAGGGAGTTGCTGATCGGGGTTGTGATGGCATTTCTCCACCTCCTCGGCCTCGGCGTATTGGTCCCCCCACTGTAGGGCCCTTATGTAATCGCGGGGGGGGGGGGGGGGGGGGGGTTCGATGATGAGGCTCCTTGAGAATTTGCAGGGGCGGAGCACTATTTGGAGGAGGGCCAGGAGGGTCCCGTCGTCTGCACCATCAACTTTATCAGCCTTCGTTCTCCAGCGCTCCAAGAAGTCCCGAAGGGTCTCCTCTTTCCTTTGCCTCACTGTCAGCAAGTGGGAGAAGTGTTTTCTTGTGCGGCGCCTTCCCGCAAATTGTGTCAAGAATCGCTGGGCGAGTTCTTGCCACGAGTCGATGCAGCCTTCAGGCAATCGATTGAACCATTCGTAAGCCGGCCCCTCTAAGGTGGAGAGGAACCAACGACACAAATTTTCATCAGATGCCCCCACCATCATCATACTGTTTTGGTATCTGCTGTAGTGCTCCTGGGGGTCAGTTTTTCCGTCGTAGGGCTTGATAAGTTGCCCTCGGTATTTGTCCGGGATCTGGGCTGCGAATACCCTTGGGGTAAATGGCGTCCGGGTCCGGAGTTGTATGGTGGGTTCCCCGGAGCCCTCGGCTATCTTCTTCTGCATCTCCTCCATCTTGGCCAACATGGCCTCATACTTCAGGTCTGCATGAGGGGCAGAAGTGGTGGCGTGCGCTTTGGTGGCCTCCATCTCGTCAAGCCGGCGCTGGAGGGCCGCAATGATTTCGTCCCGGGGGTCCTTCGGGAGGGCCTCCGCACCCTGCGAACGGACACGGGCCGAGTGGGCCTTGTTGATGTGGTGACAGGCGTCGTCGGCATGGAGAGGTGCCTTGCCTTTGTCCTGAGGGGAACATCTTTCATCCGCCCGGGAAACGGATCCGCCACTTTCCTGAGGCCTTTGGAGCACCTCCCCCCCGAGGCGGTCTTGGACCGCTCGACGGTCTTGCGCCCCTCTGAGTCTCTCGAGGGCGGAAGTTCGGGGCTGTTCCTTGTTCATGTTGTGGTGGTCCCGAGATTGGCCTTCCTGGGAGGCTGTATCTTGGGCCACGACCCCCTCGACGTTCCCAATCCGAAGGACAGGGTTCCCGAGGGGGTGTGGATGAGGGGGAGGCATGATATTTTCCCCCACCTGAGGTTGAAGGGGAACCAAAGTGCCGAAGGCACCCGGGTTCTGGGTGAGCGTTTGGATGAAGGCGGAAAACGCCGACTGTACGTCGATAGTGATGACCGGAGGGCTAACTTGGTTTTCACTCCGGTCCTTCTTTTTGGGCTCGATGCCGAGGCGGGCATCGGGGGCATTTTGTTGAATCTGATGGCGTAGGTCGACAGCCGTCTGATCCAACCCGGCGATGACGCTGCCCCCGGGAGCCCTGTTAGAGGCCTCGGGGACGTCGACTTCGACGAGGGCCAGGTTCCTGTCCTCAACGTTCTTGGAGTTGGCACGAGTTGCTCTCACCATTTTCGCTAGGTGTTTTGTGTTTGGCGAGAGGAAGGGTTTCTTACTTGATTTTTCGACCTCTCAATGAGAGAACCAAATGATGGATAGTCTACCCGGGGGTATGTATCTGACGTGCACTCGTCGTTAGGTGCACTCAAAATAAATAATCAATACAACACTAATACGTAGTATAGTGTAGTAAGGTTCGTATCCACAGGGAAAGGAATACTTTTCTTTTATAAAAGTAGTAAAAGAAGGGGAGTTTAGATTTGTTTGGTTTAATAACACTAAGATAAACGACCTATATGAGTTTAATTCAATGAGATGGGGACTTGGTTTTGCTTTTATCCACTTAATGAAATGTTCGTCGATCCCGGTTATATCTTTAACTATCTTCCTCTCGAATACTCAATCGAGGAGTATATCCAGTTCATCGAGGGTAGTTATTAATAACGAGATGCGTTCATTAATAAAACTTACTATCGAGTCAATATAGAACAAGCGCCGTATATTGACTTGATAGTAGCAATAAACTTAAGATGAAAACGATTGAGATTGATAACCTCAACACAAGCGGTTTATTGGTTTAATCAATATAATTAATTCCCCTTGGCATATTAACCATGAGATGCATGCATTAATATTCCAAGTTTACTACCGTTGAAAGAACCGGATTAATAACAAGCGTATTAACCGATTGATTCTAGTAATAATTAATATGAGAAACAATACTAGTTGATACTTTAAGTAATGTTTAAGATATTAACATGAAATATGAATAGGAATTAATTAATACTCAAGGAAGAATATTAAAATATATGAATCCTACTATGATTAATATCAAGATGTTAACTAATTGTCATCTTAGTAACACTCCCCAATATTATCATAGAGGAAGAAATAGCTATTACTATAACCAATGTCAAGATGTTAACTAATTGTCATCTTAGTAACACTCCCCAACTTTGATATAGAGATAGTATTTTGAAAGAAAGAATTAATATTCAAGGAAGAAGATTAAAGAAAATAACTCACAACTTACAAATTCATTAAGCTTCAAAGTAGCAAAACCAAGATGGAAGAGTTTAGCTCCTCATTTGGAGACTAAACATGATGAAAAATATAAAGAAAGAGCTATTCTATACTGAGCTTAGATGTACAAAGGGATTGGATCTCTTTTTGTGAAGGAAATGAGGTGTATTTATAGGTTTTTGGGATGGGATTCGGGTACTCGATCGGGTATATACATGGTACCCGATCGAGTATGTGTGTAACACCCGATCTGAGGTATACTCGACCGGTTTCAGGGTATTTTCTAAGAGTATACCCGATCGAGTATATATGCATACCCGGTCGAGTATGCTTAGAAAATGGTTTTCAAACCATACTCGACCGAAACTCTTTTGAAATTCAAAGGCATACCCGATCGGGTATGTCGGTCTACCCGATCGGGTATAGACACAAAATCGTGGTTGAAATCTTCCCTGCATGTTCCCTTGTCTTCGGATCTGATCCGATTTCAAGTTCCAACCTAATACCCGATCGAGTATAGCTAATACTCGACCGAGTATAGACCAAAATTCAGGATCTTCTTTTGTCTTTGAACTTTTGCACCTTTTCTTCACTTTTTGGGTTCACCAACTGTACTTTGAGTGACCAAAACCTACTTGAGCTCAGAATATATCTAATCTAACCTATTTACAAGAATTTAACAATCTAATCTATTACACCAAAAGTGTGTAATTTCCAAAGTAAAAGTCAAGCAAAACTAATTAAAAACATAAACATAGATATGGAAATTACGAACGTATCAACTCCCCCACACTTAAACCTTTACTCGTCTCGAGTAAGATCTAATTTTTACAAGCGTCAATGTTTGTCCAAAAGTTCCACAGTTCAACAAGAATACAATACAAACACAAAGACCACCAATGATGACAAAGAAAAATGAGTTTTAAACTCAATTTACAAAAGAGCATCTTGGGTTTAATGGCCTCCTAGTGTTATCTTCTTTTCTCCTCCTCTCTTCTTCTTTATCTTGAATCTTCTTCTTCTTCACAAGGGTAAAATGAGTGCCTGCAAGAACAAACATTTCTCTCATATCTCTCATTTTGCCTAGGAGCCTTTTCAGGTTTTCATCCTAGCACCTCTTTTCATTTTCCATTCTCTCCAGCTCACTCATTTTTTTTATAAGCCTTTTTTGCTTAGATTGCCCATTTTGTTGGGTTTTCAACCTAACTAGCATTTATTTTCTTTTGTTTATTTTCTCTTTTTGTTTCGTTTTTTGTGTGTAAAAGTTCAAAAGAATTACATGCATAGTGCTAGGTAGAAATGAAAATTACATACCATCATGAGTGTCTCCCCCACACTTTAATCAAGCACTGTCCCTAGTGCCCGCCTTCTCCTCCGTAGTAGCTCCCTCCAAAGCCGCTCCTTTGGTCACCATCTCCCATGTAGGTGTCCCCGCCATCTCCGCCGTCGTACCCTCCACCCCCGGAGCCAGATCCTCCAAAGTTACCCCAATGAGTGGGGTCATACCATGAGGGTGGTGGAGGAGGGTTCGCCATGGTATGGAATGATCCCTGTTGTGCCATATAAGAGTACATAGGTCCGTAGAACCTATGTTGGTCTTCCTCATACCGATGTCTATCGGCCTCCCGGAGCTCCTCCAAACGTTGAAAGCCGGCCCTTTGCTCATCCTCCAATCTTTGAAAACCGGCTCTTTGTTCCTCCTCTAATCGGTTGAGCCGGTTGTCCATTTGGGCTATTCCCGAAAGAAGTTGTTGTTGACCCTCCAGAAGTTGTTGAAAGAAGTCGGGTGGTGGAGGGTTTTGGTTCTGTTCTGGGAAGTCCTGGCTCATGGTTGGATGGCTATGGAGTTGCTCATATGGCTCGTAATCGGGTTGGTTTTGGGGAGGTTCCTGTTCCGGTTCCTGGAGATGTGGTGGGAGGGCGTTTGGGAAGAGGTAATGTTGGTCCGCTCTTCCTGTTTTGAATTGGAGTTGGGGGAGTTCTGGGTTGGGCAAGAGGAAGTATTTGAGGGGTTTGAGGTGGATGTGCCAGTTGTACATATTTCTGGGCCTTTCTTCACCATAAACGGTGTGTGAAAAAGATGTACAGCCCGAGTGGCCCAGCCAAGATATGTTCATCAAACAGTAGTCGGGTATAGGAGAGTCATCCGTATACCCGAACTTTGTGGCCAAGTGCATAATTACCCCGCCCACTACAATAGCACCCTTTGCCACGCTCTCTTTTTTTAGATGTGCCCACATGAGATTACATAGGTTGAAATCCATGTGGATGCGGAATAAGGCTACTGAGATGAGGCATACATCCCCCATCCTTGTATGATGGTTGTTGGGACGTCCAAGCAAGGAGTTGGCAAGGAATTTCAAAAAGAGGCGTAGGACGGGATGTTGGACATGACTAATGTAGAGTTGGGAGGAGCTAAATTTAGTCTCCCGGTCATCTTGGTCCATAGGGTGTGGCCGAAGGCGGTATTGTCGGATATAGACTTTTGGTACGGGACCAGAATACCAAAGTGTTCGGCGAACTCAAGTTTTGTGATGGTGTGATTGTGATTAAACAATTGAAACCTGAGTTTATCATCCCTAAAGTCCTCTTCATTGTTCTCAAAGTGCACAGAGCTTAGGAATTCATAGATAACTTTTTCATTTGAGTTGTATTGCATTTTGAAAATTTTATCCATGTGCAACTCATGAAAAAATTTCTTCATCAATTTGTACACTCCTAATTCCTTTAGGGCATCAAGGCATAAAAAGCGGGAAGGTTTAACTTGCCTTTCAATTGTGGACATGAAGCGTGTGCGTTGTTCGTTGTCCACGAAGAGGATGTCCTCGTAGCCCGGAATGGATGCCCTAGTGCTTGAGCTTTGCCCTTTCTCTTTCCTTGGAGCCATTTGGAGTGAATTTGGCCTTTGAAAACCGAAATTGGAAGGTGGGGGTAGGGTTTTTCGGACCTCTGAAAGTTGGGGGAGAATGGGATTGGTGGGTATGAATGTGTAGAGGAGGATGAGGGGAGTGTTTTGGTGTTGAAATGGGAGGATTTGGTGAAGATTTGGAAGAGATATGGTAGAGAGAAGGTGTAAAAATGGGGTTTGGGCGTTTTTTGTTCGAGATAAGGTTTGAAATTCGGAGAAGACGAAGTGTTTTGGGGCTGATTTGGGGTTATAATACCCGTATACCCGATCGAGTATGTGCTGGTACTCGGTCGGGTATGCCTGGAAAGTGGCTTTTTCGACCAGTCTGCCTCCTGTACTCGATCGGGTAGTGTATGGTTACCCGGTCGAGTATTGCTGGAAAGTTTAGTTTTTTAGTGGCCTGCCTCCTGTACTCGATCGGGTAGGGTGTTGTTACCCGGTCGAGTATGCTTAGAAAATGAACTTTGTGAGCAGCCTGTCTCCTGTACCCGGTCGAGTATTCCTCCATACTCGATCGGGTATGTGCTTTTTTTCCATTTTTGAAGCGGGTACTCGGTCGAGTGTGGGAGTCAGTCCCCTTCAATTTTAGCATTTCTATACATACCCGACCGGGTGTATAGTGATACCCGATCGGGTATTGCTTATTTTTCAATTTTTGAGTGCTCCCTCGATCGAGTAGTGCCCGGTCCCTTTTCTTTTTGCTCATACCCGACCGAGTATAAGGTGATACTCGATCGGGTATGTCCCCAGATGTTCCAAAACCTGCATTTTTTTTCTTTTCTTCCAAAAAAACGTGATTAGTGCCCTCCCTTACTGATCTCTCAAATATTTAGACAAAAAAATGAATTCTAAATACTTGAATTAAAAAAAAAAGAATTATACACACTTAAATAAAAATAAAATAAAATAAACTTGGGTTGCCTCCCAAGTAGCGCCTTAGTTAACGTCGTGGCACGACGTTATTCATTTTTTTTGTTTTGTTTTATGTGGGATTATGAGCATCCCTTGTTTCACTTTTCAAGGCCCTATTTGGCCATTTTTCATTTTTATTTTTCGGCCTTTTCCAGTAAGGCCGGGGTTTCTTTCTCGAAAGACATCTGATTTTATCCGCTTCTTTGAAAAACAGCGGTTCTTGTGGTTCAACAACATGTAAAGAACACAGAGTTGGATTTTGCATTTGTTTTTTCGTAGAGTCCAAGATGTTGAACTCCACTTTTTGATCATTGAACTCTAAAGTTAGTGAACCACTAGAAACGTCAATTTTTGTTTTTGCGGTCTTCATGAAGGGTCTACCCAAAAGGATGGGTGTTGTTTGGTCATCAGTTCCCATTTCAAGGACATAGAAGTCAACAGGAAAGACCATATTTTCTACTTCTATTAGCAGATCTTCTACTACACCCTTCGGGTAAGTACTAGAATGATCTGCCAATTGAATCACTACACCTGTTTGATGTAATGGGCCAAGTTGTAGAGTTTTATAAACAGAATAGGGGATGACATTTATTGATGCCCCTAAATCCAACAAGGCCTTGGGAAATGTGGTGTTTCCTATTTTGCAAGGGATAGTGAACATGCCTGGGTCGTTACATTTTTCGGGGAGTTTCCTCTGAAAAATGGCCGAGACGTGTTCACTAACTCTAACCTCTTGTTTCCCTTTCAATTTATCTTTTCTTTTTGTTTTTGCATAATTCTTTTAAGAATTTAGCAAAACGAGGGACATTTTTCATGAAGTTAAGAAGCGGAATGTTTACCTCACACTTTGCGAAGGTTTCATAGATGTCGGCGTCTTTTTCTAGCTTCTTTGTCTCTTTCAGCGCCTCAGGGAACGGGATTTCTTGTTCATATGATGAGGGTGGGGGGAGCTTGGTTTCTGTGAGCTCCTCCTCCGGTGGGACTATTTTTTCAGGGTCCACACCCTCAGTCTCTTCATCGTTCTCTTTTGCCTCTTTCAACGTTGCACCACTTCTCAACGTTATAGCATTCACACGTTGTCTCGGGTTTTGCTCCGTTTGAGATGGGAGTTTACCCGAGTCTTTTGTTTCAAGTCGGTTCACGACATTTGCAATTTGACTGACTTGGTTTTCCAGATTCTGAATGCTGGATTTGGTCTCATGCTGAAATTGAACCATGTTTTGTTGCATGGTTGAGACATTTGAGGTGAGTGCTCGGATCATGTCCTCGGTGGACATACTTGAGCTTGACGTCTGGCCTTGGTGCTTTGGGAAAGTTGGTGGCAAGGACTGATTTTGAGGATTCCCATACCTCAAATTCGGGTGATCTCTCCACCCAGGATTGTAGGAGTTAGAATGTGGATCATACCTCTTTTGACCTTGAAATCCCAAAGCATTGACTTGCTCGGAATTCTCCTCTTGTAGTGTTGGGCAGGAATCGGTGGGGTGCCCTTGTGTCGAGCATATGTCGCAGACCTTGACTTCTTGGTGTTTTGGATTTAAAAGGAAATCCTTTACCAAAGAAGTCAAGCCAGCTACTTGACTTTCCAACGAGATGTTGGACTCCGCTGCCATGACCCGTTTTGATGATGACCTCCCATTGTAGTGCCTAGAATTCTCGGCCAACTCCGAGATGAGGTTCCTAGCTTGGGAAGGGGTTTTGTTGACAATTCCCCCTCCAGATGCTGCGTTTACCAGGCGTCTATCTTGCTCCGCAAGACCGTCATAAAAGTAGAGGATGAGGTCTTGCTCTGTGTAACCATGATATGGGCAGCTAGCACACAATTTTTTGAAACGCTCCCAATACTCATATAATGTCTCATCATCTTTTTGTTCGATGTTGCTTATTTGTTTTTTCAAAGATGATGAGACAGTTGCAAGGTAGTACCTTTCTAGGAAGCATTTTTTCATTGATGCCCATGTATCTATACTCCCTGAAGGAAGATAGAATAGCCAATCCTTCGCCGTGTCTTTGAGGGAGAATGGAAAAGCCCTCAATTTGATTTGTTCCTCCGAGACACCACTGGGGCACATGCTTGTGCACACAATATGGAACTCAGAAAGGTGTTTGTTCGGATCTTCTCCTCTTAGGCCATGAAAGGATGACAGTAGATGTATGAGCCCAGATTTTAGCTCAAATGTATTACCTTCATCGAGTGTAGGGAAGGTAATACATAGTGGTTGTTGATTGAGATTTGGAGCTGTGAGCTCCCGTAGTGTTCTTGTTTCAAGAGCCATTGTGGTTGGCTCTTCGGTGTCGCTAGAATGAGAACTAGCGCTGGATGATTCTCTGATAGATGATTCCTCCGAGTCGGTATTAGAAAATCTACTTTTCAACCGCTCGAAAGTTTGTTCTATTTCTGGGTTTGTTTGATATGTGATTTTGTTTATGGAGCGATGTTTAACCATAAACTCCACTAAGCTCAGAAATAGAAGAATAAGAACTCTTTATATTTTTTTTTTGTTTAATATTTTTTTTTGATTTTTCTTGAAATAAAATAGAAAGAAAAATAATTGCCTTTCCCCGGAATTTGCGCCAAATTTGACGTGCACTCGTCGTTAGGTGCACTCAAAATAAATAATCAATACAACACTAATACGTAGTATAGTGTAGTAAGGTTCGTATCCACAGGGAAAGGAATACTTTTCTTTTATAAAAGTAGTAAAAGAAGGGGGGTTTAGATTTGTTTGGTTTAATAACACTAAGATAAACGACCTATATGAGTTTAATTCAATGAGATGGGGACTTGGTTTTGCTTTTATCCACTTAATGAAATGTTCGTCGATCCCGGTTATATCTTTA